TCCAAAAGGAACCTCGTGACTCCAGAGGGGACACACTTATGGATATGCGTACTGACTTGACAGCGGTGCCACGCGCCAGCCTAAGAAACCCAAATCCTGAAAGGTCCAGGAAAGTCCTAAAGAACCTGGGGGTCTGTAAGAGGAAATGGGGCCAAAAGCCCAAGGCGAAAGCGGACCGATTGGGTGACGGCGTGTCGTGCGTGACTGCGGCTGCATTAGCACTTTACCAAAGGTTAAAAATTGTGCAGGTACAAGTGGTTGATCAGACCACTCATCCACCGAAATGCCATAGCTTCGTTGGACTGGATAGGCAAATCGGCTCCAGTCCCCTGACTAAAACAATTCAAAAGAATCCCTGTGACTACAAGGGTTACACACACACACACGCCTCCCCGAAGGCAAAATTAAGGCTAGGACGAATGTGCAAATGCGCGCGCAGCAAGGACAAAAGGATGAAGACATGAAAAGGAAGACGACGGGACAAAAGTGTGTGTGTGGTTGCGATGAAAGAGAAACCAAATGCACAGGGACAACCGATGAAACCTCATTGTCGAAACCTGGGCGACCTGAAACCTGAGTTGGCAGTAGATGTGCGCGTACACACTAAGGCCCGGACCGTTGTACGCGCAAAAGAACGAAAGGAGTCAGGTGAAAAGACATGAAGCAAGGGAAGACATGAAAAGAAAGAAGAAAAAGAAGTGTGTGAAGGGGAACGGATGAAAGGGGAACCAAATGGAGGGGACGGGAACCGATGAAACCAGACCTCATTATACAACGACCTAGGAAGACCTGCCTCGTTTAAGTGTGTACAATGTGTGTGCACCTAAGAGTCCGACAGGTTCCAATGAACCTCAAAAGTACTTCGGTCGCTCTGACCACGTTGAGGCGTTAAGCCAGCTTGGACCGCTGCGGTCACGTAAAGGCATGAGCCAACTTGGAATTCCAAAGATGAGACAAACATCCCACTTCTTGAGGCATAAGCCAGCTTCGCCCGCTGTGGGCACTTACGTTTCCAAAGCAAGGGAAACAGCGACAAACCCCCGTTCAACGGGTCCACGGGAGGCACTCTGCGGGCTCATCCCGGGTTGGCACGAGGCCAAACACACATATGGGTATGCGTACTGACTTGACAGCGGTGCCACACGCCAGCCTAAGAAACCCAAATCCTGAAAGGCCCAGGAAAGTCCTAAAGAACCTGGGGGTCTGTAAGAGGAAATGGGGCCAAAAGCTCAAGGCGAAAGCGGACCGACAGGGTGACGGCGTGTCGCGCGTGACTGCGGCTGCATTAGCACTTTACCAAAGGTTAAAAATTGTGCGGTACAAGTGGTTGATCAGACCACTCATCCACCGAAATGCCATAGCTTCGTTGGACTGGATAGGCAAATCGGCTCCAGTCCCCCTGCTGACTAAAACAATTCGAATCCCTGTGACTACAAGGGTTACACACACACACTTATAGAAATGCGTACGGATGTGAATGCGGTGTCACACGCCGGCCTAGGTAAAACCGCCTAAGGTTCCAGGTAGTAAGTTAGAGGCCTCCAAACCTATGAACACGAGAGCGAACGACGACGACAGGTTGACGACGGGTTGTGCAAGTCAGCGGAGCTCCAAAGGTCCAAACACTCAAACGCCAATTCAAAAGAATCCCTGTGACACACACACTCACACGCCTCCCCGAGGGGAGGCGAGAAAAACTAAGGTAAGGGCAAATGCGCACATGCGCACGCAGCAAAGACAAAAAGATGAAGACATGAAGAGAAGACAAGACAGGACGGAAAGGTACGTAGTTGCGATGAAAGGGGAACCAAGTGCACAGGGACAACCGATGAATCCCACCTCATTATCAAGACCTGGGCAACCTGAAACCTAGGTTGCAAATGTATGTAAAAGTGCACGTACACACTAAGGCCAGGACCGATGTGCGCGCAAAAGAAAAAAGGATGAGATGACAAAACATGAAGACAGGAGGACATGAAAGAAAAGAGGAAACAAAGTGTGTGTGTGTGTGTGTATGAAGGGGGAAAAGGATGAAAAGGGAAACAAATGGAGGGGACGAAAACCAATGAGCCCGAAACCTCATTAGAAAACCTAGGCAAACCTTGTTGGACAAGTACGTGCTGCGTGTGCACCTGAGGTAGCGACGGGTCCCAATGGACCCGAAAATTGCTTCGGCCGCTGCGGCCACGTACGGCTTGCCCGAGGGCTGCCACCTTTGACCGCTGCGGTCACGTAAAGGCATGAGCCAACTTGGAATTCCAAACGTAAGACATAAGTCGAAGTTCTCTCGGCCTAGGCCACCTATGCTCGCTGCGAGCTGCTCTGGTCCCGGGCGCAGGGACGAGGACTAACACCCATTCGACGGGTCCACAGGGGGCACTCTTCGGGCTCACCCTGAGATCTAACGAGGAGAGACACACATATAGAAATGCGTACGGATGTGAATGCGGTGCCACACGCCGGCCTAGGTAAAACCGCCTAAGGTTCCAGGTAGTAAGTTAGAGGCCTCCAAACCTATGAACACGAGAGCGAACGACGACGACAGGGTGACGACGGGTTGTGCAAGTCAGCGGAGCTCCAAAGGTCCAAACACTCAAGGAAATTCACCGCTGCATTAGCCGCTTACTGCAAAACACAGAATTGGAACAGCTTGTCCATTAAGTAGGTTTCTCTCCAAGCAGGTACGTCAATCTGGCGTCCCGGATTGATTTCACCAGCACACATCCAGTGTTGGTGCAAGACTGGATGGGCTGCTTGCACCCCCTGCTTGAAACAAAGGTAGACCTAATGCCAATTCAAAAGAATCCCTGTGACTACAAGGGGAACACACACACACACACACATGGCCGCCTTGCGGCGCGAAACCTCAATAGTCAACTAAAAAGCCTTGGAGAAGAAAGAAAGACAGAAAGAGCAAAACGAAAAGGTCAAGAAAGAAAGATAGGCAGTGAAGTGAATGAGGGAACGGAAAGGCGCAAAGTCGGCTTAACTGAAATGTTGAACAACGTTGACACGTTAGCACTTTACTGAATACTTAGCAGATAAAAAGGGGAGGTTTAGGGGAATAGCATGAAAACCACCATGAGAAGCAAACCGAAAGGAGAACAGCTTGTGCAACAGTTCAGCAGGTACGTTTGCAGCCCTCCCCAGTGGCCTCTTCGATGGCCATCCGCCACTGCGGAGGGGGATGGCCCCCTGCTGTATGAAGTGAACCGGAAACATTGGAAAACTCTTGGAAACAGAGTGTGACACACACTTAAGAAGCACATGCCAAAACGGTTCCTTCGCCAGCTTTTCATAGACATCCGCCCAGGTCTTACCATCCTTGGCGCGGGTGGTGGGGTGGCGATCATCTCCTTCCGCCTGCGAAATGCCTTCCTCGGCCAAGCCCCCCCAGAAGTTGGGCGCCTTCGCACCACACTCGATGCCTGCATAGGACTGGTAGGGTGAGCTGCAACCTGGCAATGCATGCATGTCTAGCATTACTTTCATGTTTCGATTCCAAAGCTTGGCAATGATATTGGAGAGGGCCAGCGTCCCTGGAGTCGCAAATCCTTCAGGATTGACACCATACGGCCGCGAGCCAGTGGTCAGTGGCACAGGCCATTCATCGCCGGGAAAGAGCTCAGGGTCATCGAAAATCCAATAACCAAGCGGAACACGGACTGAATTGATGCCAAACTCTGCAAACTCATCTAGCATGGAGTCAGTGTAGTACTTATCCATGTGACACCACAAAGTCTCAAAAGCCAAATCTGAAGATTGTCCCCGCAAATTTCCTGCGGCCTTCTCGCGCAAGGCTGCAGACCACATGTTATTATTGAATTTGGGAATTTGGGAGTAGTCTAGCTGGATGTGAGCATCACTAAAGGGTGGCTCACTGCGCATGAACATCCAGTTCTCCATCACCAGGTGCCCTCCCAAGTTGACACCATTGTGATATCCGGGCCAGTGTTCTTCCATCCACTGTTGCTCGGCTGTGAGTGACAACTTCTGAAGCCCAATCGTGGGCTCCGGGAAGGTCACTGCCCCCCAGCTGTGGGGAAAGAGACCCCCGAGCACAACTACCGCAAGCATGGTTGTCACGAAATGGCCACCAAGGTCTTCAGTGCCTCGAGGCCTACCGACTTGGGCCCGCACAGCAGCGCGGCAACAGAAATAATTTCCAGTGATCTCATTGAAGGCTTATTCCATTGCCAAGACTGGGTTACCAAGGTTTTAACATGTCTTCACCCACACACACTGCCACGCACCCGGGCAGCGAGCAAAGCCGCTGCAAGGGGCTCTCGCTCAGCGGCGGCAGCGGCAGCAGGCCCGACATCGGCAACTGGAGCCATCTCTCAGAAGGGACTTACATCAATCTAGCTAGATAGGGCTATAGTGTGCTATAGTGCAAGTGGTGGAAGGGGGGCATCTGGAACCTCCAGCTGGGAACACCACCCGGTCACCCGATCGAAAGTACAGGGAGTGCACATCTGTTTGAAGCCACACTTCATGCAAACTAGGAGGCCACTCTCAAAAGTCTGCGCAAGGCATGTGTCCGCGACGATCCTTTAGAGCCAATCCGGTCGGAAAGGCCACCATTTCCAATTGTCCAAGGCAAAGGCCCAAGGGGTCGGGCAAAGAGTCTCAAACAAGTCACACGTCATGGGCCGCACAGAATGCATGGTAAAGTTTTAAAGAAGATGCGTCAAAGCCACTGGCCCCAAGACCCACGACCTGAGGCCTTCAGCCTTGTAAATGGCAGTCTGGCAAGTAGTCAATGAGCAAAATACTCGAGCAAAGGCAAGATCTCTCATCCTATAGTTGCCATTAGAAGCGGGAAGGGTAGTTGTATAAGTCCAAGCCCAAGTTGAAAAGGCGGTCCTTCAAAAGAACTATATATATGTATGTATATGTGGTAGATGTCGAAATCATTGGAACCGCGGTGGACCAAGGTGTAGGAGTTGCCCCTTTCTTGTACAAGGTGCACTGGGTGTTGCAGCCAGTGAGGCACTGACTGGTGCGGGCTCCTCAGATGGAAGAGACCTGAGACGATGAAAACCAGTGCCAAAATATCTACTGTATATATATATATATATGTCATTTTGCTTGATCATGATCGTAAATTAAAATGATCGGCTCGTACACCCTCGCCCACTAACATAGAAGTGAAACAGCTCCTGTTAAGGAAACTAGTCTTCGCGGGGGCCATGCCATCGCTTCCATGTTAGTGAGTCCGAGGTATCTGAAACTGGCACGACTGATTTGTGGTGTTGACTATCAGCGATCGATTGTGAAAAGGATCGATAACAAACATGGTGAGACCAGACAAGTGCAGTTGCCTTTGACAGAGTTGGAGCTCCAAGGTCAACACCCCCCAAACATCAGTTCTCGCCAACCAGGCCCCATCGTTGGGAAGATTCCTCAGTCAGAAGCAGGGAGACTGGAGAAGCTGAATGTGAAGTGCAGATCAGCGCGATGCACTTGTCCTTCCAGTCAGGAACAACACAGAATGATGTCCGAACCTACCCCCACCCAATGAGAAACACGCTGTATACTCCTTGCTGTTGCGCGTGCAAGATTGCCTGAGCCCGCTGTCACAGAAGTTTCATCACGTCTAGTAACAAGTGCCTTACTAGTAGTAACAAGAAGCTACTAGGAACAAGTGCATCGCTTCTAGTAGAATCACCTGGCCTCTACGGACAGCTGTTGCATATCTGCAAGGTCTCCCGAATCGGCCTGGCGTTCGTGCAGAACCCAGAGCACTCAAGGCACTTGTTACTAGAAGCGATGCAGTTGTTCCTAGTAGCTTCTTGTTCCTAGTAGTAAGGCCAGGAGCCCCTAGTAGCGTCCTTGTTACTACTAGTAAGGCACTTGTTACTAGAAGCAGCTAGCTATGAAGCAGAGACGGAAGGTCCTCGGCATTGGCCGCAAACTCATCAGCCAATTCGTAGGCCTGTGAATCTGGGAAGGAAGCGGAACTATCAAGTTCCCTTGCCCTTGTTCCCCTCTCTTTTTCTCTCTCCAATGCTCAACAAGTCTTGATGGCCAGAACTGTTCTATGCACACGGAGTGTCCATGCCGCATGCCTGATCCGGAGTGATGGTGAAAGATGCTGGGCCTCATGACAATGATCTCAGTCATTTCTGCCGCACCTTTTCTGTGCGCCGAGGCATTGACTCATCATGATCGCCCTCGCAAACAACTTATTCGCAACTGGTGATGCGCAAAGCCTGGCAAAGAACTTGGAGGGATTGGAGGGGAGATAGGGTCTGTTTCGCCAGTCCATCATTTCCTGTGTGTACGTGTTAGGGTCGGGGCGGGGCGGGGCAGCGGCGAGCCATTCATGGGTATACAGTACTACTTATGTAAGCTGTCATAAGCCACCACATGCACTGGTGACATCAGGATTGTAAGATGGTGGAGGGCAACGGACATATCCTTTTCTGCGATCGATGCTGCTGCTGGGCTTCTTAGGTTGGCTGCAAGTCTTTGTTGTCAACCAACGCCCTCACATCAGCTGATGTTTAAATGCATCAGGTACCCTCTCCCAAGCCAGGGCAGCACTGAACCACTGCAATATTCGGGTGGGATTGAATGTCACCGAATGGACTATGATACTATTGGCTTGGGGACGAGGTGCATTTGTTAATCAATGGAATGTTCATGTCCACTTTCAGGGGCAATAACACCCCCAGTTTCAGTAGGAGGCACAAAAAATCCAACTAAACTCTAAACTTAAGAAGCTCTCTAAGCTCTTAACTTATCTTAACTTGACATCTCTCATTCAGCTTGCATCCGGCAACTCAATGCCATCCTGCGCTAAGCTGGCACGCACCAGCTCCTGGAAGCCACAAGCGCTTCGCAGGCTTTTGCTCATGTATCCTTAGCAGTGCTTTGAACTGGCATGCAGCCAAACAAGAACCGGCAAGGGCTACCACTACCTACCAATGGGTACTAATTTGTCTACTTTCCAGAATTGAAACTGTGTTTGGCACCCTTTCCTGAAGCACCCACTGCTGAAGGTGCAAATGTTGGAGGACTATATAAATCTTGGGCAAGTTTCGCCCGCCATAATGCTCACAATCACGCATAGCGCATACAAAGAGGGTCGTGATGCACACATCGTAGATGCCAGCGGCAAGACGTGTCGTGACCTAGGATAGCTGGCACAAAAGAACAAAACAAACAAAGGTTTGTAGCGTACTGTGAAACATTTGTCTGTACCTCGGCAACCTGCCACTTCCCTCATAGAGAACAGCTTCAAAGAAAAAGGATTCAAGAGGAGCTCGTGTATAGGAAGCTCTGGTTGCATGTGTCACTCGTGCGAGGTCTTGTTGGCTCCGCACAAACAAGTGGAGCGAGTTCAGACTGAGATCCGAGCATAGGCCAGTCCCGCAATGACCAGCGCACAAACTGGCCAAGCATCCTTCAACCCACAGAAGTAGCCAACCACGACCAAGCCAGCGGGAACTGTGATGCATAGAAGGTAGCCAAGGGCCTTGGCCAAGGGCCTAGAGTTACAGTAAGTAATTGACTTACACCATCTGACTGGGTCAGATTAGCTGCTGACAGGGTCGCGCTGAAATCCTCGCCAAAAAGTGAATGCTGCACAAATCATGCTGGATGAACCAAACTGCGACGCAGGCACTGTTGATGCCATCTTGTCCAGCGCAGTTTGAAGTGGATACTTGGCAAAGAAAACAAAGGAGGAGCGAGCGGAGGAGCAAAACGACTTCCCGGTCACAGCGACATAGACCTTGAAGCTAGTTCGCATGAGCAATCCTTTCAATCGCACATGGTGCAGCCTGGGGCCCTAGCATATGCGTACTCAGTGATGAAGGACAAGCACTTTTCCAGGCACCACAGGCTACAGCGGCACATGCAGAACAGGACCTTCAATGCAGGATTGGACTCCTCGGGACATGCCAGCTGCAAGCTGTTCAAGGCAACTCGCCTAGTGTCTGCTCTGGAAGCTTGTTCCGTAACACCTATATAAGTAGGATGGACCCCATGATGGCACAAGAGATCCTGCTGCTCTTTGGTCTTGGCAGCCACATATTCAAAGATGATGCCTCATCTTCCCAGTCTGCGCCCGCATCACTGAAATTCTACCATATGTCTCGTCAAGTCCCTTGGTGACAAGTTGCGCAGAAGAGTCGCCAAAGCAATGATACCTGCAGCTCACATCAGTTCACAAAACTCATCGACATCTTTAGCTGTATGAGGAATGTTCTTGAAAACAATGCTATAAGACCCTCTTTGATAAGACCCCTTTTGGAGGGCCCTATTCCAGGGACCTCCTTTTTACAGTAGCTTCTTGACCTCCTCTCTTTTTCTTGACCTCAGATCCAGGTGACCAAGGCACAGGAGCCAAAGACCAGCGATCCCAAGTGATGCCGACAGACTCGACAGAAGGCGAGCAGAATGGGGCGCCCAAAGAACCAACCTTCGGAGTTAATGCCTCGATATCCAGGGGTAGACAGAATCATAGACATTTCAGTGAAAAAGACTGCTCCTCTCTTTGTGAGGTGGGTGCTGCATGTGCCTCAACTAGATCGAGTGATCATGGTTCTTTGAAGTTGCTCATGTTCATGACACAACTTGTACTTGAGGCCAAGGGGGGGGGCGAAAGCTAGCGCTCCAGAATGGGAAAGTGGAGGGCAGCGAGGTAGGAAAAAACACGGCGCTCTTTTTGGAGGCAGGGGTGAAGAGTCCTTTATATGTGGCTCTTTGCCCGGATCCTCCTGCGAGAGAAGAGAGAGAAGAGAGACGGAAAGACGAGAGACAGAGAGGAGAGAGAGAGAGAGGAGAGAGAGATGAGAGAGATGAGAAAGAGATGAGAGAGATGAGAGAGATGAGAGAGACAGTGAGACAGTGAGAGAGTGAGAGAGTGAGAGTGAGAGTGAGCGAGTGCGGCCGCAAGATACGCAACGCTAACCGCATGCCAAAGAGCGACGACAGGACGGAGTCGAACTTGCGAAGAGGGAGGAGGGAGGGAGGGAAGATGGGAGGAAGACAAGGAGGAGGAGAGGGGGGGAAGAGGAGAGGTGGGGAGAGGGGAGGAAGGGGGGGGGGGGGGGGGGGGGGCTTCGACCTGAAAAATCAGGGGTTAGGATTTGCACCCGGTCGAAAGAAACCTTGCTATCGCAAGAGTAACTCCAGCTAGCTTCGCTAGCTTTCGTGATCACACCAACAGCACCCCGGGACCAGACAGTCTCCTTCACGCAGCACCCAGCACGTTTCAGGGGAAAAGTGCCCAGTTGTGTGGGACACATCGTGGGTTTGTATGTTTGCTGCCAACTGCAACCAGGTGCTAAACATATTGTACCTCATGGTACTGGACATGGCCCTTTGACCCCAAGTTGGCCGTCAGTCTGCAACTCGCCTGTGCCAGCATTCCTCTCAGCATCATCCCTGTAGAAGTACCAATGGGACACGCACATGGCGGTCACAGAGATGCAAACTGCAACGTGGAGATAGTAGCTGAAGAGGAACCTCAGTTTGATAGTCCCAACCGGCCTAAAAGACATGACTGGTGTGACTGTGAGCCGTGCGATGCGATTCATGCGCTAGCTGAGTCTAAGTGGCACAAACAGGTTGAAGACCAGAGCTATCCTCGTCAGCAAGTCGTCATGTCATGGTTTGGTTGGAGTTCTTGGGTGCACTCCAGAATACTGCGCCACGTAATGTTTCTCTTCCGTCAGACTCTTCCGTGGTCTCCATACAAGTATCTCCGCATGGAAATGCCCGTGGCCGTTTAGAACAGAACCAACCCCTTCCACCAAGTTGAGGGTGGTGCTGTGAGTTTCTTCTACCAACCACGCAGGATTCTCTGCATCTGATGCAGCTGCCACCCTGCGAGCACCACATAGCCAGGTCTCTGCTGTATTTGCCGCAGTGAGTCTTGGCGTAGCCCCAGCGATTCCAGCATGGGATGGAGATGGGCCTGCCAAACCTGCATCGATGCATTCTCAACTCGGCTGAGCGGCTAACCGCTGGGCGGATGCTGCGCATGTAACTATGTGTGTCTATATTGTTGCATATTTTTCCGAGCTAGGCCAGGGCTGTAGGTAAAGTCTAGGGGACAAGTTATGTAGGTTCTCGAAGTTCTCTCAAAGGGGAGCACCCATCAAGGCATTAAAAGCGGACAGCCAATCTGGTTGGTCCCCTGCGCGCACGACGGCATGCCTCTATGATGTTGGGAATGTCAACAGCTCGAGTTGTTGAGATCGTAAGGGCCACCTGGCCGCAGGTCCGTCACACACTAGCTCTTTTGAAACTTGTCCACGTCAAGGGAGTTTAACTCATATGGCAAGTCACCCAAAGCAGCATCAATGACACAGCAACCATACTGCAGGACAGGATGAAAGGCGTAAGGAGTAGTGACGGCATCTCACCTTCCACGAACTGCGGGCATTTCTCAAAGTGCAACCGCCTTACGAAGGCATTCAATTCTATGCCAAGGCTCGCATGGTGGTTGATGCTTCTGAGTAGTGCCACCAATATCCGGAAATTCTTCTTAGATCAAGCCCCGCACTCAAAAACATGCTACGGGAGGGGCACTGGAAACCATCCTTGAAGCGAACTGAAATTGGCTCACTCATGTATGGCAAGGCTCTCGGGTGGCCATGGCAGCACACGCCAAAAGGACGATGCCAACGGCAAGACCAATGGCCAACCTCACAGCGCAGCAATCTCTCCAAAACGCCCTAGCTGCATGTTGTTTGTCCAGATTCTCCGCAAAACTTCTGGCGACCCCTGCCCTCCAGCAAATACAAAACCCCAAGAAACAGAAATTCAAGAACTGCGATTTGCTCTGTTCTGTCGAGGCATGCTCAAGCAATGCCCAGCTAACTTAGGTTTGCTTCAGTCATTTGCACAACGTATTGAGTGCTGAGTACTGGTTGGAAACCTCTGGCAAAACCCTGTGACCGTGCATGTAGGTCATTTTGTGGGACTTTCGCTTCAGTTCTGATGACGGAAGCTAAGAGGATGACCATTTGTAGATGGTTTGCCACTCCTCCGTGTTGGCCTGCTCTTGCAACAACGCTTCCATCCTTGGTCACTTTGGCACCCACTTCTGCTCTGCTCAAACGCCGATCTGCAAGCGAGGTGCTGGTCCGGCACTTCCACGTTCACCGCTTTGCCGAAGGCGTCCAGAATCATGCGGCCCTTCCTTCCAGTAATCAGACCAGCCTGTTTGCAGTGACTGGGATTGGGTCGGCATGAG